TATTTATATTTTATTATTCTTTATTTATTATATAATACATTATTAACATATTAAATATTAGTATTTAATATGTTATTATATTATTATATAAGATATTTTATTTATTATATTTTTATTTTATTTATTATATTTTTATATTATTTAATATATATTACTAATCTATTAAAATAATTGTAATATAGTATAGAATAGTTGATAATAACTCTATATTAATTAGATTTAATATGTTATGTTAGATACTATATTAACATCTTCTCAAACTCAAAATCAAAATACCAAATTTAAAACACCTAAAATGTGTTTTCAAATAAGTGTTGTGTTTTTAATTTGAGGATGATTTAGCTCAAAAAACACATGGTTTTCAAACTCATGGTATTTTATTTTTAGCAAAAATATCATAAAATTAAGTAAAACATCATGGTATCCAAACAGAACCTTAAAATAGCATTACTCAATTGCAAGTAGACTCTTGTAACATTGGACCAAGTCTGAATAGACCTCCGTTGTGAATTTTTTTCGGATCTTTTAACACCCAAAAAAAAGCAATTGAACATCTATCCTCTCAGATAGACTATATAGGATCAATGTGTCTCCTCATGTTGACTATTTTACGAGTCAAATATCTCATTTAAGAGTATATTCATTCAAATAGAATTACACTGTATCTATCCACGACATGACTTTATTTGCAAGGGGTTTTTGCTTTTAGACCCATTTATTTACTCCCATTTATCTTTAAACCCAAATACTATTATTTGTATCTTTAAGCTCAATTCACCTTTTGTATTTATCTTTAAATCCAATCTTCAAAATACTATATTTTCACCCCTTGTTTTTATATTTTGGAGATAAGGTTTAAAAATAAATACAAAATGTGAATTGGGCTTAAAGATAAAAATAATAGTACTTGAGTTTAAAGATAAATGAGAGTAAATAAATGGGTCTAAAAGCAAAAACCCCTATTTGCAATTGAGCGACACTACATAGGTATATCAGCAATTGGCCGATAGTACAAGAGTCTATTCACAATCAACCCCTTGTAAGGAAGGTTCTAGCAATTTTAATTTTTGAGGATTGATTTTGGACCAACTTTTAAGAACAATGGAACATTATAGCAAATTGCCCCACGAAACTTTACCATGTGACACACTGGATTGCCCCGCTTTAGGGAAGGTCTTATAAAATGCTTTATTGATAATACAGAACTAATATTCACAAAGCTTGGAAAATGCAGGTTTACCCGCAAATAAGATTGTACTGGGCCTGCCTTATTATGGGTACGCTTGGGCCTTGGCGAATCCGAACAATCATGGCCTGGGAGCGAAGGCTAATGGGCCAGCTAGTGGGCCGGGTATCGATTCGGATGGGTCTATCACGTACAGTTCGGTGAGGGATTTTATTCAGACGAATAACGCGGTGGAGGTGTACGATGCTACGGTGGTTGTTAACTATTGCTACGCCGGGAGTACGTGGATCGGATATGATGACGTGGCGTCGATAAGTGCGAAGGTTAAATATGCGAAGGGGAAGGCTTTGCGTGGTTACTTTGCGTGGGCTGTGCACGGGGATTACAATTGGGTCCTCTCCAAAAATGGTAGGTTATATTATCGCTCATATTTTAATTAATTAATTAAATTCTTATTTCATGTTCTTTTCTTATTATTATTATTATTATTATTTGCAGCTAAATCAGTGTGGGAATCGGGAGCTCAATTAGTATACGTAAACTAATGGAAGGATGTAAAGAAAAATTGGTGTGGGACGCTTTAAATAAATTCTTTCATCAAGACAAATGCATCGCTTAGATTTTCTCTCTTTGTATGATCTGAAAGAAATAATAGTTGTATATGCATGTAATAAAAGGATATACTATATGACATATCCTAAATGATATATGTGTTGGATTTAATCTAATAAATCTATTTGTGGGCACATATGATTAATCAATGTGTATTGCTATCTTTCAGGATAACGCATTAAAGTGATCAATTAAGTTGGGTTAATTTGATATTTAAATAAGTTATGGGGTTATATGTGCAGATACCAGGTTGTAATTGTGATTTATTGAGGGGCTAAATTACAAAAGTACAACATCTATAAATAAGGGGTTATGGTCCCTAACCTAGGGTTACATTCTCTAATTCTCTACACCCACATCTAGCTAGAGAAATTCGGTTTTAGAGAAACCCTAAGGTTAGAAGATCCAAAACCCAAAATCAAGATCAATCTATGGATTCAGGTATAAGCTTCCGCTCTTATGATTATTGTTAATCTCTTTGAATTAATCATGGCTATATGGTTTTAGATCTCAAGTTTTATGATGTAGATCTAACAAGTGGTATCAGAGCCACCTTGATTAATTCTTAGGGATTTAAGTTTTATTGGGTTTTTTGATCTTAAATCTCTGGTTAAAGATTCAATTTTTGGGTTCGGATGAACAGTAACGAAAATTTTCGGATGAACAGCAATTTTTTTTTGTTCGGATGAACAGTAAAGTTTTTCAGATGAACAGTAACTGAAAAATCACCGGTGAACAGTAACTTTTTGGATTTTTCTTTGATTTTTTCTTCAATTTTTTCCAATTCTGGATCTGTTTTGAAAATAAAAATCAAAGATTTTTTGGGTTTGTCGGCGGCGGTTTCAATTTGAAACCCTAAGGGTTCACGGCGAAAATTAAGGAGATGGTTACCTCAAACGAACCTCACGTTCGTTCAATTTGAACCGAACTTCGCGTTCAAACGAACTTCGCGTTCGTTATCAAGTGAGCCTCGCGCTCAACGAACTTCGCGTTCGTTCTAAGGTGAACCTCGCGTTCAACTCAGGTGAGCGTCAAGCTCAATTTTAACGAACCTCGCGTTCGTTCTAAAGGTGAACCTCGCGTTCAACTCAGGTGAGCGTCAAGCTCAATTTTAACGAACCTCGCGTTCGTTCTAAGGTGAACCTCGCGTTCAACTCAGGTGAGCGTCAAGCTCAATTTTAACGAACCTCGCGTTCGTTCTAAGGTGAACCTCGCGTTCAACTCAGGTGAGCGTCAAGCTCAATTTTAACGAACCTCGCGTTCGTTCTAAGGTGACTTCAGTCGAACCTCGCGTTCGAACTTCAGTCGAACCTCGCGTTCGAACTTCAGTTGAACCTCGCGTTCATCCTTTTTTTTTAACGAACCTCGTGTTCGTTCTCAAGTTGAACATCACGTTCAAACGAACCTCGCGTTCGTTCTCAAACGAACCTCGCGTTCGTGCTTAAGTGAGTCTCGTACTCAATACAGTCGAACCTCGCGTTCGAAGTTAAGGGAACTTCGTGTTCATTATGGTTAAGCCTCGGCTTTTCATGGGTCCACTTTGGTATACTTAATTTATTCAATTAAGTTATGGGCCCTAATTAAGCTGTGAGACCCCAATTAAGTTTTTGGAAATTCAGTTGATTTAAATTTTTTAATTTAAATCTAATTCGGTTTTTAATCAATTATTTAATTCAAATATTATGACACTAAGGTATTAAGGTTGTCTCTCACTCCAATTGATTAATTGAAACAAGAAGTTGCCAAAGTAACCTCTCTTGTGTAGATTGTTCATGAGGAATGTGAGATGTTTGTGTGTATGCTTTCGTGTAAATATTTAATCGGCCCAAAGGAAGGTTAATATTTATTTAGACTGTATACACATCTGCGATGATAAGCGTGTGACAATTATAAGGTTTACATGTGAATAATGAATCGATCCAAAGATAGTTTCATTATTTGACATGAGTTATTGTCAATGTTTGATCATTGCAACAAGGTATCACTTACAAGTTAATATTACTGTCCAAAGACTTGATATTAATGTTGTGCCGGTATCTTGGATGGGTATTGTCATTATTTAAATTTTATTGATTATGGTTATTGATGTGAGCATTCTTTTGTTTTATTTCAGCTAATGCATCTGCTGCAACAATTTCTGCTAACATCAACTCAATTCCCATGCTAAATGGGACAAACTTCAAGGTTTGGAAAGAGAACATATTAATTGTTCTTGGCTGCATGGATCTTGACTATGCATTAAGAACTGAACAACCCCAACCTCTCAATGCGGATAGCACTCCTGATGCAAAGAAGGAGCATGAGAAGTGGGAGCGTTCAAATCGCATGAGTCTTATGATCATTAAGCGCGGCGTTCCGGAAGCCTTCAGGGGCATAGAATCCGAAGGGATTACTAAGGCTAAAGATTTCCTTGCCGAAATTGAGAAGCGTTTTGCGAAAAACGATAAGGTAGAAACAAGCACGCTTTTAGCTCGCTTGATTTCAATGAAGTATAAGGGCAAAGGAAATATCAGGGAGTACATTATGGAAATGTCTCATATTGCTTCAAAGCTTAAGGCACTTAAACTCGATCTTTGTGACGAGTTATTAGTGCATCTGGTTTTGTTGTCTCTTCCTGCACAGTTTAACCAATTTAAGGTCAGTTATAACTGTCAAAAGGAGAAATGGACTCTAAATGAGCTCATTTCATACTGTGTGCAAGAAGAAGACAGGTTGAAGCAAGATAAGACAGAAAGTGCTCATTTGGCCTATGCCTCTAAGGATAAGGGCAAGAAAAGGAAGAATGATAAGGAAGCTGCTAAGGGTCCAGTTGAGAAGAAACAACATAAGGATAATCAGGGTTGTTTCTTCTGTAAGAAGCCTGGACATGTAAAGAAGGACTGTACAAAATATCACGCCTGGCGTGATAATAAGGGTACGTTCCTTGCTTTGGTCTGTTCTGAGGTTAATTTAGCTTCAGTACCTAGAAACACTTGGTGGTTAGACTCTGGTGCTACTACTCACATAAGTGTTTCTATGCAGGGTTGCCTGAGCTACCGAAAGCCAAGTGATGTTGAAAGACACATCTTTGTGGGCGACGGACAATCGGTAGATGTGGAAGCAATTGGGCACTTTAGGTTGTTGTTAGGAACTGGTTATTATTTGGATTTAAAAGATACTTTTGTAGTACCGTCTTTTAGACGGAATTTGGTTTCTGTTTCTGTATTGGACAAATCAGGTTATTCTTGTTCATTTGGAAACAGTCAATTCAGTTTATCTTTTAATTCAAATGTTGTGGGAACCGGTTACTTGAGTATTTATGACAACCTATATTTGCTTGATACAATTGCTTCTTACAATGAATCCTTGCATGTGGAATCACGTGGTACTAAGCGTAAATTAAATAAGGAAAATTCGGCGACATTATGGCATAAGCGCTTAGGTCATATCTCAAAAGGTAGAATTGAGCGTCTTGTGTCTGATGGCATTTTGGATTCCCTTGATTTTTCGGACTTCGACGTATGTGTTGAATGTATCAAGGGAAAACAGACCAAAGTGAAAAGATTAGGTGCCAACAGATCTTCGGATGTCTTAGAATTGATACATACGGATATTTGTGGGCCATTCCCTACGGAATCCTGGAATGGTCAACAATATTTTATATCATTCATAGACGATTACTCACGTTATGGGCACCTATATCTTATTCATGAAAAATCTGAGTCTCTGGACATGTTCAAAGCCTATAAAGCTGAAGTTGAGAATCAACTCAACAGAAGAATTAAAACCGTCAGATCTGATCGTGGTGGTGAGTACTACGGTAGATATGATGGTTCAGGTGAACAACGTCCAGGACCATTTGCTAGATACCTAGAGGAATACGGTATCGTCCCACAGTACACCATGCCGGGTTCACCTAGCATGAATGGTGTAGCTGAAAGACGAAACAGGACTCTTAAGGATATGGTAAGAAGTATGATTGCTCATTCTTCTTTACCAGAGTCACTCTGGGGAGAAGCACTTAAGACAGCAGCTTACATTCTGAATAGAGTACCAAGTAAAGCAGTTGCTAAAACACCTTATGAGCTTTGGACTGGTCGAAAGCCCAGTTTAAAGCATTTACATATTTGGGGATGTCCAGCTGAGGCAAGGCCTTATAGGCCAAATGAAAAGAAATTGGACTCCAAAACAGTTAGCAGCTACTTTATTGGATACTCTGAACGCTCTAGGGGCTTTAAGTTTTATGATCCCACTATAAGGAACATTTTTGAGACGGGAACAGCAACATTCTTTGAGGATGTTGAGTTTGGGGGGAGAAATAAGGTTAGAGACATTAGTTTTGAGGAGGAATTGGCTTCAGATCCAATCCATACAGTTACTTTTGACAATATTCAGGTTCCTATACCTGTTGTTGCTCAAGAAGTAAATCCGGAACCTCAAGATGATAATGTTGAACAACTCCCTGTTCCAGAAGAACAAACTCAACAACCTCAAGAACCAGTGCCATTAAGGAGATCCACGAGAGAAAGGAGAAATGCTATTCCGGATGATTATATTGTATTTCTCCAAGAACATGAGGAAAGTAGTGGAATGTTAGAAGATGATCCAATCAACTTCTCTCAGGCCATGAAAAGTTCTAACTCTCAACAGTGGATTGATGCCATGAATGAAGAGTACAAGTCTATGCAAGACAATAAGGTTTGGGAACTTGTCCCATTACCAGAAGGTGCAAAACCAATTGGTTGTAAATGGATTTTTAAAACCAAGCGGGATGCAAACGGTAATGTGGAGAGGTATAAGGCACGTCTTGTGGCTAAAGGCTATACTCAAAAGGAAGGCATTGATTATACAGAGACTTTCTCTCCGGTTTCATCGAAAGACTCTTTCAGAATAATCATGGCACTTGTTGCTCATTATGATCTTGAGTTACATCAGATGGATGTTAAGACTGCATTTCTCAATGGAGACATTGATGAGATGATCTATATGGTGCAACCAGAAAACTTTGTGTCGGGAGACCCAAAGAATATGGTCTGCAAATTAAGGAAATCCATCTATGGACTCAAGCAAGCTCCTCGTCAATGGTATCATAAGTTTCAACAAATAGTTATCTCGTTCGGTTTTGAGATGAACATTGTTGATGACTGTGTATATCACAAGTTCAGTGGGA